TGCTCTGAGTTTCCCTGATATTAATATAATTAACCAGGCATCAGTACATATTTTGTTTCTACTATGTCTGAATATTTGCAATCATTCTTCCTATTTCTAGAATATATTTTACTGGAAGATAACAACCTCAGTTAATTAAGTTACAAGGCACTTGTGGGAAGAACAATATGTAGCGCAGCATAACTTTTTCAAAGAGATAAAATGAACTCTAGAGAAACTAGAAGGTTTTCAATAACTATGCCGGTATCAACAAGGCATTGTGCTGCTAGAAACAAAACCAGTTGTAATCTTTCCTACTAGCCTAAGGCAAAAATACAAGATGCTGTTTTTAAGGCTTTTAGGTTAAAAATACTTTCTACAGATGGTAAAGAATAAAAGGGCTTTGCTCTTATGCTTTGTTGCTTTACTCTCTAATCTCCCATTTATTTTTAAGACCTCTGACATTCTACAAGTACAAACTTGTGAATGACTTCCTAAAGAGTGATACCCAGTAACCTACGATAAAACCAATGCATCAACCTTAGCTAATATTTACTTTTAAAAAATGATGGTAGATGGAACTACATCCTTCCAGAATGCCTCTCTTCTCCTGGTTTGTGAACCTGCTCAGGACAGCGATTATATTTTTTATATCTATAGCCTCAAAACCGATTATAGAGCCACAGCACATAATAAGTATTCGTTGAATGAATGACTTAACGGAATGAATAAATTAATGATCTCTGATTACCTGTCACTTGTCTCTTTCCATCTTGCTATTTCCTTCCTCAGGGAAAACTGAAGAAAACATTTACAATTCATGCATATCTTGAATTTTACTGTGAATTCCTAAAGGAGTGAACTTTGGCAAAACAGAAGCACTGAGAGGCAGACACTGGTTTTCTGGTTAAATTGATTTGGGCCAGTGATTCTTATTCAAAAGATTTAAAAAGCTCCCTCAACCTTAAAGGCAATATCAAAACAAAAAAAATAGACATTTTGTGGGTGTCTTTATTTAAAAACAAAGCCAGTCAATTTTCTTAATGATAAAGGAATACTGGAATCTTCAAACAATGAGCTTGTCCACTATAAAGAAAAATGTGGTTTCAAACATATAGCAGTGAATAGCAGCCATAAAGATCTTAAAAACAAAAAACCCCTCTAATCAGATCATATGGCTCCTCTTTTCAAAACTCTTCCAACAACCTCCTATTGCTCTTAGGATAAGATCCAAAATCTCTAATTTGAACTACAAGCTAATTTGTTGATTAATTCAAGAAATATTGATTGAGTGCTCACTAGGTATTTTGGGCTGGGAAAACATAGTGTTGAGGGGGTGGGGCAAAGTCTCAGTTCTCACGTAGCTTACACTTTGAAGGGTAGGGGTGGGCCGGTGGAAAGACTGACAGATTATAAACATATAAACAAAATCAATAAACAAAAGAAACAAATAAAGAAGGTAAATTCAGTTGTGATGAGTGCTATGCAGAAAATAAAACAGAGCACTCGCTAGAGAAAATAAGCTATTCTTTCAGTTCCCCAGGTTCCCCTTTCTCACCCCAGGGAATTTGTACAAGTTATTTCCTCTCCCAGGGTTCCTCCTTCATCTTCCTCCCTTCCAGAACCCTCATTCTTCCTTCAGACCTCGCTAAAAATGGCAGCTTCTTTTGGTTAGATGTTACTTTTATATACTCTGCCTTTTACCTGCATGTCTCCCTTATAATGATCCTTACATTTAAGTATCTGTTCAATGTCTGTCTTGCCACAGAGCAGGATCTTCCAGGCTGTGGTCTACCAGTATACCTAGCGATAGATCTCCAGCAACCAGCATGTAGTAGATGATCAACATATCTGTTAATATGAAAAGAAGGAAGACTGGGAAATCTTTTCCCTTTTGCTGTTAATGGCTGCTTGATTAATAAAGGGTAAAAATCATTTGAAGGTCACATATACATAAAAAGAACATGGGAGGTAAATGCAATTAGGCTGAATGAAAACTGAATAAGTATTAGGCGCTTGCTTTGGCAGCACATATACCAAAATGGGAGCAATACAGAGAAGATTAGCTTGGCCCCTAAAAAAAAGTATTTAGTGGTTGTTTTGGTGGGTTCTAGAGTGGCACCAAATGCTACCATGGGATAAATTGCTTTGAGAAGAAGTAATTTCCTAGATAATGGAAGTAAGCAACTCCATGGTTATAAAACAGCATGGAAGAATATGTGGTTAAAAAAAAAAAAGAAAGTGTATATATATTGGAAGCATGGAAGGAATAAGTGAGTAGGAGAGATACTCTTTTATTTTCAAATTCAGACAAATTTTTCTTTTGAAGTGAACATGGCTGTCCCCCTTTCCAATACCAAATAATACATGCACATTGTAAAATATTCAAGACAATAAAGAATGGGGGAAAGAAGAAAGTTAATAATCTTATCACATTTTATTTGCATGTATACTCATCTAGACTTTTTTCAGGTATATTTATGTATATATTTAATATAAAAGTGGAGTCATACATGCTCTATTATAATTTGTCCTATTCATTAAAAATGTAACCTGAACATATTTCCAGCTCTAACTACCCATTTTTAATGGCTATATAGTAGTCCAAATTATGTGGACATACTGTATTTAACTAATTATTGTTGAATAGTTATTTTTTCAGAATTTTCAACATTTCAGTGTTAGAAACCATATTGTGATTAGCATCTTTGCACATTCATTACATACATCTTTGCAAACTTGTCCACTTCTTTCCTTAAAATAAATTTCTGCACATGGACTTGTTGGTCAAACAGTACAGATACATTGAGTCTTTTGATACACACTACTAAATTGCCTCAAAAAGCTTACATCAATTTGTACTACTAGCATACCAATGTGTCCACTTCATGGGACATCAACACTTAATAACATCAGTTTTTAAATCTTTTACATTCTGATAGGCAAAAAGAGAAATCATTGTTTTTATTTTCATTTTTGAGTACTAGTGAGGTTGAATATATTTTCATATACTTATCAGCCAAGTGTTTTATCCTTTTCTGAATTGTCTTTTCATGTCTATTGCACATTTTAAACCTGGGGTATTTATCTTTTTAAAAATTAATTTATAATAGCTTTTCATAGACTAGTGATATTAGCCATATGTGGTTATCATATATGTAGCATTTTTGCCAGATGTCATTTGTCTTTTAATTTTATTATAAAGATACTACTCCTTAGCTGTCATATGTCATGCTGAAAATTTTTTTTTCTGGTTTGTGATTTGTGTTTTAACTTTACTAACCTTGTATTTTGACATGCATAAGCTTTACTTTTGTGAAACTGTATTTATCAGTCTTCCCCTTTATGGATTTTGTGTCGTGTTTGGAAAATCCTTCTGCATTCCCAAGGCTATAGAAATAGTCATCTATATTTTCTTCCACTTCTTTTATGATTTTATATTTTACATTAAGCCATATATGCCTCAAGAATGTTAAGGAGTGGCTAATATTTTTACTATAACCTGAATATCGGGCTCAACGGCAGTTACAGGCCACTGAAAGATTCATTTTACACATTCTAGGAAAACATTCTAGTACACGATTATGTAAAATAAGACAAAAACTGAGTAGAGACACAGCACCTACATCAAATATCACACTATCAAAAATGACAATATCAATGAACCTGCTGGGAAGTTGAGTAGTTAACCTTGAGGGATAGTGTTTTAATTGCTCGGAGTGAAATACTTTACTTATATTCCAGGCTAATATAATGTCCATCATGCTGAGAGGGGAATTCTCTCAAAAATACATTTGAGGGTTTACTATGTGGTCTGTGGGGATACCACAGTGAACAAACTAGAGATTTACTACTCTTAAATGGTGAGGCAAACAAAATAACAACTTTTCAGAGTAAGTGCTTTAAAGAAAATTAAGCAGGTAAGGTAAAGGGATGGGAAAGTCAGGGAAGGCTTCTCTGGGGAGGTGATAATTATGAGGCTTGGAAAGCAAAGATATGAAAAGAAAATATTCTAGCCTAGGTAAAGTAGTCGAGGTGGGAACAAGTTAGGTTTGTTGGAAAATTAGTAAGAAAGCCAGTGTAGCTGCCATGTTATCAGAAAACAGAAAAATGGGAAAAGAAACACAGAGTATCCTAAAAACTTGGGTAAGATTGTTTTCCTTTAACTGTCACAATGGGAGTGGCATGCTGTGCGGTGCATTCCTTCGATTCTTTCAGGCTTTACTATCTAAGAAAGGCCTTCCTTAACTGCCGGTTTACAAATTCCAACGTTATCAGATTTTCCCACCCTTTTACAATCACCGCCCTTTTTCAAAGTACTTCTGAGAGTTACCGCCTCAAAGAGACCATCTCTTCCCACTCTTCTAAACATGGTAATTCCCGTCCCCCTTCCCCGCTTTATGTTTCGCCCTAGTTGTATCACCAAGTACTGTGACATGTGTTTGTGTTTTAAAAAAATTGTCCCCTGCCCCTCGTAGGTTATAGATTCACAAGAACTGGAATTTTGATCGATTTTATTTTCTTATTTAAGTTCCTGTATTTCTTAATTTTGGTCTCTTAATTCTTAAGCATTTTACAATGGCGCTTGACATACAGTTGGCGCTCAATAAATGTACGTTGACTAAAACGTAGAATGCTGTATGAACTGGGAAGGACTGATTGTGTGACTCCCTGCCAGCTTAGACTAATAACCACATTGCTCGCTCTCCGGAAAAAGGCTTCAAGCAGTCAGACGGTGACGTCCTTCAGCTTTCAAAATGGAAAGGCGCAGGTTCCCACAATCCTCAGAACGCGAATATCTCGCCACAATTCAAAATGGCGGAGGAGGGTGGGGCCTGTCACATGGTGGGCGTCATAGCTGCTTTCCTTTTCCAAACCCCGGCCCGCCTCGCCGCGTCGTCCGCCGTCCCCCTCCTCCTCCCGCCGAGGCTTTTCGAGGAATCGACTGGGATTGGCTAACAGGTTGGGAGTGGGGCTGCGGGGCCGGGACGCGGCATCATCACTTCCTGTTGTGGGCAGTCGTTTCCTGTCGCTGCTTGGTAACAATGGGGAAGATAATGGCTGCCTGAGCAACGTCTCCGAGCAGGCGCTGGGCTAGAGGCGGGTCTCCACCAGCGACTCATCGGAGGCGGGCTTGAGAGAGGCGGCAGGGGAGGCGCGGAGCAGCCTCGGCGGAGGCGGCCGAACCGACCGAGTCGGATCCTGACCCTAAAACCGAGTAAGTGAAAGTCTTGGGAATCCTGTGCGAAATGGATGTAGAGCGAGAGGCCGACCGAGGAACCGGGGCTGCCGCGTTCGCTCAAAATGGCCCAAGTGACGCGGCGTGGTGGAGGCTCAGCGCCGCCTCCGGACCCCAGGCCCGTTGCTGCGGGGGGCTCCGTGGCGTAGTCGCCGCTGCCATTTTAGTTGGGTGGCATAGTCAATGGGCTCTTTGAAGAAGGAGAAGGAGGTGGGTAGCACTTCTCCTCCGTGGCCGCGCGAACTGCGGCCCGGGCCCTCCGGAGCCTTAGGAAATCGGGGGAGGCGGTTTCGAGTTTTGGCCTGAGGCGTGAGAATCTTAGGACGGCTCAGGTTTTTATCTCCTCTGTCCTCAGGAGGCTTTCCTCGCCTCCCCGCGTTTTACGTGGCGGGCTTGGGTTTGGGGAAAGGGGGCAAAAAATCAGGCTGCCCTGAGTCAGATGCTGGGAACTCTTGGGCCTTTAGATTTCCCAGGATTTGCACAACCCCATTTTGAGCCCTTCTGCAGGGCATTACCAATTAGGCGCCCCCTGGGGCCGTGATGACATCTTCCCTGAGGATCTGAGGCTAATGTGGTTTACTCCCTTGCTCGAATAACCCTAGCGTATCCTTTGCCAGATATCACTGGAAGGATTCCCTCCTCCCCACCACCAAAGGGAGGGAAAAGCCGTTGCGTGTTTGTTGTTTTTCCCTGGGTAGGGGTGGGAATTGGGCCAAATTATTTTCAAGTTAATTTCCGTTTAATCCGCCAACAACTCAACCCCTAGCCCCTAGGAAAAAAAAAAAAAGAAGCCTAAGGGTCTCGGCTTCTGCGGGCGGTACCTGCCACGTACGCCATAGCTTAGTAACTAGTATTAACCGGTTGGGCTTCTGCTTCCTGAATACTCAGTCCCTTTTTCCCTTATGCTGATTAATTTCAAGATGGAGGAGACAGCCACGTTCCTTCCCTAGACAGTTTCACCATACTTATTCCACAGGTTAGTCCGGGAACCTGAGGCCTAGCAGACTTGTTATTTAGGCCATTTTTTCCGTTTGGGGGCAAGGGGGAAGCTTTTATAATAGATTGTCATCCACCATTTGCAAGGCCCCACACTATTTTTTTTGGTAAAAGTAAGGAGCCCACATTTCCTGAATCAGAATTAACCACAGTACCTTTGGCTGATTGAAAAGGGGAAAAAAATAATAAACGTACTGCTATTTAATCATTTATTTCGCTCTTCATGATTATGGACAAAATAACTATTCATGTCACCCCATCAGGTACGTTCTGTCTGTCCTGCAGGCCTTGAGAGCAGGCAGGCACAATTGTAGGCCCCCATATCAGTTTTCTAAACTGTAAAAATACATATTACCTAGAAAGACCACTCCAGACACTTTAAAAGTATGATCTTAGGGCACTCACTCTCTCTTAACTGAAAAATGTTACAGACATTCTTTAGCCTAAGGTGTCCTGGTGATTTTTAATACTTTAGTTCCTGCCTTAGGCTAGTGTAGTATACCAAATAAGTCCTTGATAGTGACTATGAGAATCTGAACATAATTACTGGTTTAATAAGGAAAGACCTCATTTAAGCAAGCATGTATTAAAAGGTAGATTGGCTCTCAGCATTTAGAGTTAATCTTTTATCTAACTCCTGGTCCCCTCTGACCTTCTTGGTCTCCCCAGATATCCTAATACTAGTGTCGAATTCGGTTGGGTTACTGTGTGTGTATCTAACTAAAATACATAGGATGTGTATTTTCTTAGGATGTGTCTATTTCAAAGAAAATGTGTATCTTATAAAAGAAGAAGAATAATGGATTCTTTTTTTTTCTAGAGCAGAAAGTGAAGAAAACTAAAATCCAGTTTATTGTATTTCAATACTATGTCATAACAGTCAGGTAATTTATTTTTTGTTGCGTCTCCTGATGATTTATATGTAGAATGCATGTTTACAAATATTTATTGTTCTGTTTTGCAGGCCCTGTAATTGGATGGGCTCATTGATTATATTAGTTGGTGTTGGGCATTCTTCATGATGGGTACTTTTCTCTGAGAATTCAAAGGGTAATGTTACTGAGTACCTGGAACTCACCAGTGTTTTATGTGATTTTTACTTTCTAAAATATTGTCTGAAATTTACCAATATCTGTATAGAACAGAAAGAACAAAAAGGAAATTTGCTGCCTTAAATCATTGTTAGAATGACATGAGTATAAATAAAATAACATTTAAGTGTTCATCAAATTACTAACTGAAATATCAGTAGAATATCTTGCAGGAATATAATCTTACATTATTTTGCGTAGTGTTGGATTATTTTTCCTTTGAGATTCAAAAGGTCATAATATGTAATACTTTTAATTGGTATTAGTTCCCTTCATTATCATCATCATCATCAAGGTAACCACATAATTTTTTGCCTTGACCAGGACAATTTTAAGAGCAAAGGAGGCCGGGCGCGGTGGCTCTCACCTGTAATCCTAGCACTCTGGGAGGCCGGAGGATCGCTTGAGGTCAGGAGTTGAAGACCAGCCTGAGCGAGACCCCATCTCTACTAAAAATAGAAAAAATTAGCCAGGCATGGTGGTGCATGCCTGTAGTCCCAGCTACTTGGGAGGCTGAGGCAGAAGGATGGCTTGAGCCCAGGAGTTTGAGGTTGCTGTGAGCTAGGCTGAGACTCTGTCTCAAAAAAAAAAAAAAAGACCAAAGGTGACATTATTAATAATTATTTATTCCTGGACAACAGGTACAGACCTGAATTATCTCAGGCGGACTGGGATGGGCAGCTAGCTTAAATTCATAACTATTATTGAAGTCTTATGTGCTAGGCCCCTGTGCTTTACATTTATTATGCTATAATCCTCATAGCAAAGCCTCATGAAGATGTTAACTTTTTACAGAGGCTACTGAAACTCAGAAAGGTAAAGTAATTTGTCCTCAATTAAATAGCTAGTAAGTGGTAGAGTCCTCATTTTATCCCAGGCCTGGACATTGAAGTCACTAAACTTGAATGTCTCTAGACTTGATTGCTGTCTAATTGATAGGAAATGCAATGAAAATGAAAGATTATATAAAAAAAAAAATGTAGGTTATATTGCATCAAAAACTTTCGTTAGCCCTTAAAGGTAATCTGCTTTGAGAAGCAAGTGAGACTTATCTAGTAGTCCCCTTCTTTTTTCTCTGTTACAGTTCCTGTTTCAGCTGTTATGTTCTTGATACAGTTTTTTAATTTTTAAAAACTGCTTGATATCTTGATATAATTTGGTAAACAATTTAAAATCTGAAATGGTTTTTAAAAATAGCTTAATAATGAAATGATATAGAAATGTTAGGCTGGTTGGATGTCTTTCAGGTTAGTAAACCTGTGTGGTGAGTCTTTATATAATACAGTAGGTCAAATGGGACATTTGCATTTATGGAATTATATTATGTGTACATTAATTTTTCCATAGTCCTGGTGGATTAGAAATAGAGCAAATCACTGCCCAGCCTCCTGCTCCTTTGACTTACCATAGAGTGGAGAACAAATTAGAAAGTGAAAAGTCTTCTTTCAAACCCAGGCCAGTGAAGTGCTAGAATTTGGGGCCACTGCCGAGGACAAGGACAATTTTCTTTTGTAAAGTCCTGTTCCTTAACATTTTTGTATGACAGATTTCTAAAACTTATAGCCCATTGATTTCTAAAAATATCCAGTTTACATAATACATTAAAGTTTTGATAACCACTGGAAGAAATAATACTTCTATGTCCATTTTTTCCTGCATTATTTTTCCTGAACCTTGAACATGAAAGTTTCCCAGATAAGCAGTTTGTTTTTCCTTTCATCAATTGTGGTATTGTGGTATTTTTAAAAAATACACCTCAATTATGGGAATATATTTATGAACTTGAGGTTTTCCTCCTAAAATATAAAGTTGGTGTTTTTGCTCTAGATTTTCTCATATTTTAGTGCTCCAACCCAAGACCTTAATTGCATTAGTCATGATAGTAACTACGTACATGTGAGACAAATATCTGTTGTCAGTGCTTGGTTTATTATTTAGATTTGTGGACCTCTTGCAGTAATTTCACAGCTATGGGTCGGGCTGCTGTTACAGTGTCTGACAGTCTAATAGTGTTTGCATAGTGATGAACACAATACTTTTGGGGAGAAAGGAGATATTTGTGTTTAGTGTTTTTAAGATTTTCTGGAATGACAAAAAGGTCCCTTTCCTCCTGACCTCCACTTGACTGTAGGAGGAATCCAGGAGTTAAACTACAATTTTCACTTTATAGTGACCAAAGTTACCTTTTGTGTCAGTTACAACAAAGGTAACCATATAAATTATCTAAATTGGAACACACTTTTGAGAGTGAAAGGGGGCCATATTAATAATTACTACAGCACAAGTATTATAAACCATTACTCTTCTGGAAAAATCAGGGATATATGGTCATGTTCCTTATATCATGTCTGTTTAGGGACACTGGTTTAGGACGAACAATCATCAACATGTTTGGTCTTAATATATAAAGTTGTTTTCCTCAAATAATATGACTGATTGTAGATAATATTTTCTTTTTTGGTCAAGTGATTTTACTTTTAAAAATTGTCTTCACTCTTTTTAAGAAGTTGATTTTTTTGGATGGAAAATTTTTAAGTCCTTAAAATAGTGCCTTAGTTACTGATGAAAAACATTGTCAGTAATCAGTGATTTTGTATTTACATTAATAACTATTTTTTAAATAAACACATGAAAGTTTGGGGGGTTTGAGTCTTTTTTTTTAGATTTAGATTTCTTGGGAATAATGAGAAGCAAGTCAAAATTGAAGTTATGGATAAGATCAAATGCTAATTTAGTGACATAGCTTTATAATAAAAGAACATCAAATGGGTAATTGAAAATTAAATTCACTGTCTTAATTAAAGTACTTAAGCGAGATGAGATGTCATCATGATGGTTTCCTTTTTTAACTAGATCCTATAAATTGGCAGCATTTGGCATGGTCTTCAGTTCTTTAATTTACTGAATTTCTTTCAATACTCTTTCAGTTTAACTATTTTTGAAGGTTGTAGTCAAAATTGTTTGAGCTGCAAATGAGTGGACACATGAGGTTCCTGAGTTCCTTTGGTTTTTCTCTGCTGTCCTTTTTAAGTGGTAAAGATAGAGGAATATAAGTGAGGCTAAGCTAACATTGCTATTCAGATAATATTTGATAATTTCTTATTGCTCTAGTAGTATCAGTGGTGGGTGCCTTGGTAGCTTCCTCTATTGGAAATTATCAACAAATTGTGCAGTTGGTGAGAGATATATTGTGCAATACAGAAAGGCAGTGAAACGTCAACCCTGCCTGTTTGTTTTTTGAAGAATGCTTAATATATCTTTTCAAAAAGATAAGATAGTCACATAAAAGGAGTTAGAAGTGCATAATGAGTGAAATGGCAGTGAGCAAACAAGCTTCTTAGCTTATATCCTAGTTATTTATGTTGTTTCTTAAGCTTTATTTTTCTGACTTAATACTGTAATGTGATCTAGATTATATTTTATTCACAATCATAGAACTGGAAGGTACCATATAGATGATTTAATCCAGTACTCTAATATTGATGGCAGTGCTGTGGCACAAGAGGTTAAATAAGTGGCCAAATTCACATAGCTAAATTACAACCAGGACTAGAATTCAGTATCTCTTTTTCTTTTCACAGAGCTGAATTCCACCCATCTACCCATGTATAGAGTAAAAAAAGCTGTCAGGTTGTTATCAACCATTTATTTGTCTGTTAAAATGCCATAAATTTTTAATTAAACATTCTATATATGAAGAATCCCTAACACTTCTGGTGCCTACTCTATGATGATACTTAATATTCTGACCTCAGATTCAGCAGTTCTTTGTGATTTAACTTTTTAAAAACAATTTTTCATTTTGCCAGTAGTATTACTTAGCTAACATTTCTCTTCCTTGACAAGGATCACATGCCATTCTTATCTCCGTTATGAAGTTCTTAATGAAGCTTTGTTACAAAATGGGTTGCCCCCCCTTTTGTCAATGTGACACATTTTTGTGTTTATATCCTGGTTTTTAAAAAATTTACATGTCCTACTTTAGAACTTTACTGAGTTTGGAACTTAAATGAACATGTATGCAAAAGGTGAAAATGCTTAACATAATTTAGTATTAGTTAATGTTAGGTTAGCTTCATTCCTTCCTCCCAGCCACCCTCCTTTTGTTTTTTAAAAAAGAAATAATTTCTTCCAGACTTACTAGAGATGGCTTACTTTTTAAAATTGGTATTTATGCGAGCATTTGATTTTATGTTTCAGAATTCAGTTTTGTATAGTCTGTTTTAACAGTATTTTTTGATGCCTTAAGTCTCCTTAATTGGGTGTGGTGTGTCCATGGAATACAATATGTGTGTTTATCCTTCACACCAGATCTCCCGACCCATTAGTACTGAACAATGGTTTTAAGTCACTTTTTGCCTTAACTTCATAACAAAATTAAAGTTTTTTAGAGATTGGTATGCATGGATTAGGAGAATTAAATGAGATGCTGCTTTTAGCAGTGGTCAGAAACATAGTAATATGCACAATCTATATTAGCATATGATAATGACTGTAGAAATTGAGATTATTAACAATGCTTTGAAATTCTCTGGGTGAATAAAATCTGTGTTTAAATTACCTGATTACTGAGTAAATCTCAGGTTTCATGTTCTTGTTGGCTTTTTCTCCCCAGAGTTACATTTACCTGATACAGTCCTACATTCATTGACCAAATGAATAGTTTTTTGAAATGACTGGACAAAATTTCTAATTTGGCTGCTTTTTTCTAAGAATGGATTTGGATATATTGGTATGCAGTACTCGGAAAGAAATAAGGTTAATAAAGCATGCTATTTATCTAAGGGGCAGCT